TAAAAAACTAAAAAATAAAAAACTTGTATGAACACCTACACATATCTGGGATCGGTACACATCTGTGCGTTCATGTGTGTTAGCTTCTAGTGTATACTGTAAAGGGAAACGCGCCTGTGTGTGTGTGTGTGTGTTTGTTTATGTGTTTCTTACCTGTGCAGCTGGATCTTAAGCGTGACCACGTGGTAGACGTCCTGCAGCATGTCAGCCACTGTAGCGTCCGGTGCGTCTGTCACGTATGACAGGGGGACGGGGTTCCACTTCCCCACCTGAATCATACCTGGATGACGGGACACGTGCGCACACACACACACACACACGCGTGAACGTGGACACGAGATGTGGACGGACAATGGACACGAGACGAAACATTAAAAAAAAGAAAACAAGAGAGCACATTAGCACAAAGTTAATTTTAGCATCTTGGCTCAATGCATAGCTGCTTAACTACAAATAATAACTTTATCATAAACCAGTGCCATAAACACTCTACATATACTTTACAATTTGTCCCTAAAATCACAACGTCCGTGCCACAATTTCTCCTGAGACTACCTTGAATTCAAGTGGCAGCCCACACCAGTAAACTTATGGTGTACTAAGATGTGTGTGTGTGTGTGTGTGTGTCTGTGCGCTGCAGTGTGATGGACAGGCTATAATAAAAGAGCACGCTAAGAGGCACCTTCAAACAGCCAGCCACCCTCGGCCAGCGTGTGCTCAAGTGCAATTAGCGGACCCTTTCCTCCACCTGCCCCTCCCACCCACTGAGTCACTGAGTGTATATAAATATATATTGTACGAGTGTGTGTGTGTGTGTGTCCTACTCACTTATATGCACAATACGCAAATGTAAACATTTTAGAGTGTACGCCTGTGCATTTAGACTTTATACATCCGTGTGGGAATGTGTGTGTGACCCTCGAGAGACTTGAGCATCTCCTGTCTGGGATCAGTGTCAGGATGTGCTTCTGTGGCTTCAGATCTGCTGGCGGGAGGCTATTATGGTCACACAGTGTGTGTGTGTGTGTGTGTGTGTGTGTGTGTGTGTTTGAGTGTGTAACAGAAGTATGTCGGGAAAACGTTGTGGAAAAGCCAATGAGCATTAAAGAGATAAAATAAAGGAGGGGAAAAGAAGACATGGTGACGGACAGTCGATGAGTGACATCATCGGTTACCTTTGGCCTGGGCCGCTGAGCTGTGGGAGTAGCCCAGCGACAGCAGGGCCATCTCGATGAGCTGGTTGAAGAGCATGTCCTTGCGCACCAGGACGAACTCGGCGTGCTCCTCCTTGCTGTCAAAATCCATGGGATTCTCGTAGTGCTCGACCACACAGAACACGGGCAGCATGTTGCCTGAGGGACACACGGAGGCACAAGTTAGAGAGCCGGAGGGTTCGCATTTCTTCACGTGCAAACTTTTGACCTTCAGCTTTCAGGGGTCGAGATTAATATTTAGCGCCGACGATTGAGTTACACTTGAGGTTGAGCGTCGAGTGGTTGTGAGCGGTGTGATTAGATTGCTGCTGAGTGGAAGTACTGGACAGAAATGAACTAAAGGATGGGTTTGGACCACAAAGGCATTTTTCATCTTTAATGGGGCGATTTCTATCTAAGCCCTCACCTTTCTGTCTCAATGCCAAACACTCGCATCAACGTGGGGAATCAGACGCTCCTTGGGTGCACAGTAACCTGCACAGTTTCTGAGGCTGCATTTGTTTTAGCTCTTATTTTATTTTATTTAGAAATGCTCTCTTTTGTCATATAATTTCCAAGTGCTTTTCCCATCTGTAATCCAATTTCAAGACGTGATCTGATCAACTGTTGGAGGATTCCTTCCCGCAGTCGTCTTTTCTTGCTCTAGGTTTTAAGACGATGCCATAATATTACAGAGATGTTGCACGTATGGGAGGTGTGAGTTCAATAAGTGATACATTATATCACCTTTAGCTCAGTGTGAACAGCAGCCACAGAAATCTTTCCACTCGTGTGTCTCCTTTTGGCACAATTAACTGTTTTGTTCACTATCGAGGTTCTCTGATCACAGACTTTCCTTCTGCCTGCCAACCAAAAAAATCATCTTCCCATGATGCAGTGCTTCAAAACCCGTTCCACCTCCGCGCCCCGAGGTTTACTAGTCTGTGTCAAAAGTGGCTCCGCTGTTAGGTGGAATGAGCAATCCTTGTCCAAAGACTGGCGAATGTTCTGCAACTATCACTGATATACCATTTTTTATCTTAAAATAACATCCCGGCGATGTAAGAAAGTTTAAGGGCGAGGGGACAACTTGGCCTTTCGAAGTCTCTGTTTGAATGAAACAACGGCGGAAAATCGAAATGCTGTCAAAGTATCGATAGCTTCCTGTACGACGTGAATCCTTCACGGTGTGGCCCTATACCTCCTCAGTCTGCCTCCACTCTACTCTCACCTCAACACGTACATTTATCGTCTATGCCGATTAAAACCATTCCGTTCTCATATTTTCCGATCCCAGGAATTCCAGAAGATGCACACAGCTCTGGCAAAACAATCAATAAGCCGACAGATGCCAGGGAATGTGCTGAAAGAGCTGCTTTTCTCCTCCCCTGATTTTAATAGATAAAGATCTAACAATAAAGACTGCTGTGTAGGTTCATTTGGGGGGGGATCAATACCGGCTTTGTTTCCAGGGAGCCCAGAGAGAGCTGCGGTAAATATTGTTTCGGGCTCGGACACAATGCCCACTGTGAGCCTCTCGGCCGCTTCGCCCCTTTACCCCGGGAAGAAACTCGGCAAGCGTGAGAGGAGGGCAGAGCGACGAGGAGGCTTTGGGAGGGAATCGGGGCGTCGTAGGAGGCCGAGAGGAGCGCAGATGATGGAGGCGAAAAATTAAGCTCTCTCAGCTGGAGTGCGACGCGTAGATTAAAGGAGCGAATAAGAGAAACGGCCCATTGGAGGACACTCACACAGCCACGTTCCAAGAGTTCCTGAGTCCCTCCTGGCCAAAGAAAAGCAAACCAGCCAAACAAACAAAGAGAAGAGCTGCCAAGTGCTACTACAACACCGAACCTGCAGCTTTCAAACTCATTTCCAACCCACTAAGAAGAAAACAACATAATCATAAAAAGCTTCATTTTTTTTTTTTGGATCGCTTTGCCCGCCGTGTTTTTCACGAGACGACACCAGTTTTATTAAAAAGCTATGTCATAATCCCAAAGTAAAGGCTCCCTTTAAACAAGAATGGCTCTTAAAGGACTGAAACTTTCCCTTAATAAACAAATGTCGGAGCGGGAGGGCTGCGGTTGGATAGAGAGGAGCGGTGACACAGCGCTATATAGCCCGACGCAGGAATAACTCTCACAGTGCTCCTCTATTAGCTATTGTCTGGGCAAATAAGTGGGAGTGTGTGCAGTGTGTGTGTGCAGTGTGTGTGTGTGTGTGCTGAGTGGACCAAAGACACATTGTAAAAAGGTTTAAGAGTCTTGGAGAGCATGCAGGGTGGTGGTGGGTAGAAGGTGGTGTGGGACGGGACAGGGGGGGGGTATTTAAGGTGCATTTAAATAGCTCTCCTCTATTTACATGGTTTATTATTCTCGTAAAGTTAGTTCAGCTATATCTGTTTCATAATTAGTTTGTACGGACTAAAGAATATATTTATTGTCATTATTGGTACAACTATTGTTTTTTTTATCAGCAATTAATCAGCTGATTATTTTCTCAATTAATCGATTAAGTCTATAAAATGTCAAAAAATGGTGGAGAAAAAGCTCATCACAGATTTCCATATTCATATTGTTCGTATTGCCCCAAAAACATTCCGTTTTCTGTCACACAAGACGAAGAAAAGCAGCAAATCTTCACATTTGAGAAGTGGATCAATTCACGGACTACTTATTTCAGCTCTATCAGAAGTAGAATCCAGGACGAAGTCTTCAAACTGACTGTTCTGTCGAATAAACGGGGCAAAACCCCAAAATGTACAGTCATAAGAAACGGAGACAATCGGCAGATCTTCACATTTGAGAGGCTGAAAGGCAGCACGTTGTTGACACAATTATTAAATAGAAACATACTCGTTCTTTTTCTCCCCTCTCTCACCTCTCTTGTGGCAGGTCTTCAGCAGGTGGCCGGCAGGCTTGTACGGGACCCCGGCGAGTTTGGCCCCGGTGCTGCCCAGCCTGGCCCGGCCCAGTGGGCTGCCGTTCTGCTCCAGCCGGGGCAGCTTGGCCGGCGGGGCCTTCGCCTCGGCCATGCTGTTGACCAGGTCGGAGTTCTCCTTGCCCAAACAGGCCTCGCTGAGATGGTCCATCATTCTCAGCGCCTCTGCTCACTATCACCTGGGGAGGAGACGCAGCGGGAGACACTCAGCTATGAAGCGATGAACACAGAATCCTTTGTGTGGGTGTCACCGACGTGATGGGACGTTTTTATAGAGCCCCCTCCAAAAAAAAGTGCTTTAAGTAATTGAAACCTCTGAGAACGGACCCATTACGGCAATAACTGTCAATTCGCTTCAGTTATGGCGACTCGGGCCACGGTGACGTTTTCGTGCCGCTTGTAATGTTCCCATTTTTCAACGCATGTATTATGTATGGGCGTCCCACTAGAGATTCCCATGCGAGAGGGGGGCAAAAAACAAGCCCTGTTTTTTTTTTGTTTTTTTTTGTGCAAACATTCATTTGCTGGGAGATTCCACTTGAATGAATACAGTGCAGTTCAAGGAACAAGGTTCTGCTGCTGCGGCGCACGCAGAGATAAGGGGAAAAAAAACGTAATTCGGTTTCTGAGTCACTTCGCGTGGCTTCACATATCGTGACGCAGCTCGGAGAGGAAGGGAGGCGACAGACCGCAACGTCACTGTGTGACGTACACAATCAGCTACATGATTACTTTACAGGTGTGAACTTTATTTTTAGATGTTGCAAGTGCAGAGCGATATTCATGGGAAAGCTATAAGTTTACAACTTTGGGATGGGGGGGGGCAGCTTCTGGAAACTTCAGAACACACAGTTGCTGACTCATGAAGACAATAACCAAAAAAAAAAAAGTTATGTTATAAGGACAAAAGGAGATATAAAGAGGAGAGAAAGATGAAGCCCACAGGTGCTTTAATGCACGGACACAAAGCTGAAGCTATTGATTTGAGCGCTGAAGCTGACAATTCCCACATTATTTGAACTCCCTGGAGTAAACTTTTTAAGATTTGTATAAAACAGGTTCTGCATGCAGGTTAACACGCCATGCAGAAAAAAGGGCAAAACCGCCCCCCCCCCCCTGCAAAAGATCACGAACTGCCCCCCCATCCCCATTCAAAACATGCAATGAGGCAAATGATTCCCCACAAATAAGAGGGGCCATAAGGAATCCAGACCCACATACAGTCCGGATCCAGGTCAGGATTTTAGAATGACCTTAAACACACACACACACACACACACACACACAAAAACAGGAGCAATAGTTTAAATGGACACATCACCCCCCCTGAAGAGATGGTTAAAGGAGGGGAGAGGAGGGCAAGTTGAGTGAAAAATCTTCCAAACCAACCTGAAACGCAGCACTTCAGCACCGAGGAGCGTAAAACACCGGCTGGAAAACACGTCTTCTCCAAGTTTGGCCAGGGTAGTAAAAAAAAAAAAGAAAGAAAAAGGAGACAACCCAAAACAACTCCTGCTTCCCGGTCTTGTTATCTCGCTCGCTCGCTCTCTACGCGTGCATGACAGCGAACGGTTATTTAGAAGAAGAAGAAGAAGAAAAAGAAAATTAAAAAAGACGCTTTCTCCGGCTCTTCTCCGACTGGGAGGCGGTGCGAACAAACAACAGCCCGGGTCTGTGCGAGAGACGACGAGGTCGAGATGGACCGCGATAGGCGAACATTGGTAAGCGGTTATGTTCAGCGTGTCTCTGTGCGTGTGTGTGTCTACGTGCGCGCGGTGTCCGTCAGCCGATTCCGTCCGACTGGGAGGAAAAAAACGGCCACGGGAACCGTTACAACCGGCGACATTTAGCTACAGAAGTGAGTCCATCGGTTACAAGTGAAGGCGACTTCTTCTGCTTTAGTTCGCACCACAACATCCAGATCGCTTCATCGGCAGCAGCCGCCTGAGCAGCGCAGTTAGCAGCCGCGCGGTGGAAAGCAAAAGAAGCACCTCGGACACAGTTGTAGCGATACAAAAAATAAACCAACAACCCGCCGTGCGAGACCCAACGGAGAGACGGACGAACGTACCCAAAAACGTCGGCTTAGCTTAGATTTGACTCCCGGCTGACTGAGACAGAGAGACACATAATACTAATAATAATAACCCGACAGTGGGATCTCGCTCTCGCGCTGGAGGCGATGTGTGGAGACGATATCTGCGGACAGTCGAAAAACAGGTTCGCTACAAATAAAACAAGGAGAGGGGGGTCAAAAAGTGCGGGTTTACTTTCCGTGCGTCGTGCGTCAATAAGGCTGCTCGTGGATGCACCGGAGAGCTGCCCCGCGGTAGTAATAGTAGGAGGTGTCCTGTTGGTCGGGGATTGGCGTCCGGACGGAGCTCCTCTTTCTTTCTCTCTTCTATCTCCCTCTCTGTCTCTCTCCCCCTCTCTCTCACTCCGTCTCTCCCTCTCTGTCCCCATTAAATTATTAGTTGTATTGACTCATCACTCCCCCCTCTCCTCTCCTCGCTGCTGGTGCTGCCTGTGCTTCGCTTTCCCTTTTCTCCTCCTCATTTCAAATGGCGTGGTAGCAAGAGGGGGGGTGTTTAGGAAAAAAGAAGAAGATAGGAGGATGTGTGTGTGTGTGTGTGTGTGTGTGTGTGTGTGTGTGTGTGTGTGTGTGTGTGTGTGTGTGTGTGTGTGCGTGCGTCAGAGAGTGTGTGAGGAATAAATAATCCCCTAATAATAATAATAATAATAATAATTTTAAAAACAGAGGATTCCTCCGCATCTCAGGCCAAAAAAGTCCTAGCGGGGACAAATAAAAGTGGAGAAAGTGGACGGAGCGAAATCACACGCACACACACACGCACACAAAAAAAAAAACACACGTGCATGCACACACACTGACAGGAGGAACGCTGGTGCGATTTCCGGCTGTGCGCGCAGGAATTTTTAATCAGCTTGATTAGAGTGAGGCGGTCCTGCATTTATTACCGGGTAACACACAGATGCTCGCGCGAACACACACACCCACCCACACACACACACACACACACACATCTTAAATATTATATTTTTTAAATATACTTTTGCCCAGTAAGTAGTTTTTATTTTACTAGATATTTTACATTCAGTGATTTGGTCTGAAATAGCTAAAGTTAAGGGGAACTATTTGACCTCCAGTCAGTTCTGAGATAAATATAAATTAATAAATTAATTATAAACATCACAATAAACTAAAGGGAACCCAAAAATACATGTTGCATTTACAGAAAAGCTTTCATGCGTCCCCCAAACACCAAATTGAATAACGTTTGGAACATATTTGTTGTTATTTGTTGTTTGTTTGAAATGTTTTTGCATGTGCAATGAGAATACAGACTGTATGTCTCAAGTATTCTTCTTCTTTTAACTACTGAGAGTTTGTTAGACTTACTTCCTATTATACATATATGTTATGAATCAATATCAGAAATCACAGATCAGAAAGCCCAAAAGGGGGTAATATCTTTATACACGACTTCATTTCTTAGACAAGGACTATGATACAAAATATGGAATATTAATACATTGAAATAGGTATTCATTTATATCTTGAACTATTAAAAGACCACATCATGGCAATAATTTACACATTTAAATATGTATGAGCCTTAAACAGTGGGAAGGCTCTCTTCTTCTGCACACTAAAGGTGGAGAGCTACATCTCTGCTGCACCTAATGTCAAGTTGTCTAATATTTACTTATTGCATTGTAAATATAATACAATTCATATATTCTGACACAACATAACCATTATGCAAAAGGTTGGTTATTTCCCTTTATTTGCATATAATACAGGTCAGTGTTGCTTGGGCCTAGTGTTGACGTTTGCTTTCAAAATAAGTAGTTTAACCTCTTAATACTACAGTATAGTATAACATGAATTTTGGTGAGATGTCTCAACACTTCATCCATTAACACTATGTTCTTGTCAGTAAACAACAAGACTCAAAGATGGCAGACATTTCCCATCTCACAAACTTCACAATACTGGATCATACCAAAATATTAGACGAGCTAACCTCTGTTGTGTCAACACAACCCCGAGCTGTCAAAGTGGAGGACGAGCTGAAACGAGGTAAGAAAGAAAAAGAAAAGGAGGGACGTTGAGAAGCTGGAGAGCGACTCCATCTCTGCAAACAACCACGGAGCTGGAAGGTTTTGCTCAAGTTGCCGCGTGAGCTATTGTCACGATTCTGTCATTACTTTGGTGAACCCTTCACTGCTGGCGGACTTTGTTGCCCTCGAGCAAACTGCAAAAATATCACACCAGGTAATCTCTGTTGATATTGTCAATAAAGGACCTGACATGTTTGTGCTTAACCTTAAGGTGGCTTAATAATAACTGCATCTCTCTGACTTTACGAGCAAAGCTCGGACTGATATCAGGTGGACACACACACACACCGATGCTGAGGTGTACTCAGTAACGAGCAAGAGAGGTGATGGTGTGTGAGGCAAAGTTCATTGCCGAGACCAGGGAGGAAATGCTTTTTTTTTTTTACACATGCTTGAAATGCACCGATATATAAATAGTATGCATGATGAAAGCGATGACGACACGCAGTACCAAATAAGTGTTCGTTATTCACATTGCCACCGTGCCGCAGCCTTTTGTCTTCTGAGGCATCTTAACCCGCAAGGCAGGGGGCTGACTTGACCCATCTGTCCGACGTCCACATCAAACAGACATCGACAGGCACGTCTGTCCAGGTTGTGTAAGAACAAAAACAGGAAACCAACAGAAAACAGGAAGTGTGTGTGTGTGTATGTGCACCCATTAAGACCACAAAGCCAGAGGTTTGTCGAGCCCGGAAGGTCAGGCGCCTGTGAAATACTTCATAACGCTGCTTGCTAATAAATATTTTCTGTGTGATGGTTCATCGTCTCACACACAAAAGCTGCTGTTTTCACAAACAATGCAACACCACTCGTCAGCTAAAACCACCGTCAGGTGACGCCGACAGTTGTAGAAACGCCACGGAACAACTGTGGAGAGAAAAAAATCTTTCCGATTTACGGAAGACGCTCACGGCTCAGTTTGAGAGGAAAACGCACTTGTTAAAAAATTAAAAAAAACACTGCTGAAAGTGGAAGAGATCAAAGAGCCAATCACGGTAAGAAGTGATGGCGTGCTGCATCACTACGTAGTTGAAACGGTGCAGTTACACACTCATTCAAAGCTGCAGTTGTGACACCGACTCTTTGTTCCGCCCACCACCCATGTGAGGTCAAAAGTTTGCTCATTTCAAAACGTCCACAAAGAGGTGCATTAAATAGTCACCGCAGAAGCTTTTAACGCAAAAAATACAACGTGAAACTCACCTCTCGGACCTGAGATGGAACAATGTCTTGTGATATTGACTCCTAGTCAACGCGAGGTGTGAGTTTTTTGAGGGGGCGGCTGCATTTTGAAAAAAGGGTCTCAGGTCTGTGTTTTTTTTTATATATAACAGGAAATGGAAGAGTTGTTGAAACTAAGACCCCAGCACGTTTGTATTCATGAGCAGAGGCTGCTGCACAGATTCAGTGATCGGTTCTTATCTTAACCATTCTCGGGGTTTCAGTGAGCTGCCAACACTGTGTACTAAACACAGCTGCGGTATGCCGCGTGGTTAAATGGCTCTGCTATGTGTGTGAATAAAAGGACCCCGACTGTGGAGTAATTACTGCATTTCCAGAGATTCATTCCGACACCAGATATCATTCAGCTTCAGAAGAAATGTGACAATAATTCCCACAAAGTCACCGAAGACATGAAAGCAAAAGTCACGAATGAATCACGTTGAAGTTACAGTCTAACGTGAGCTCTTCTGCTACACGATCGGTGCATCCAAGAGGATGAAATCCTCCTGTGTTCTTATTTTAAAAAGAAATTTTTTTATTTAGAAATATTGAGTATTTTGTCTCTGAAAAAGATGTGCAGCGTCTTAGATTGTGCTGTTCAGGTTCCCTGTGATACGTAGCAGCATGAATCACACAGACAGGCTGCAGTCGCCCCCCCACACACACACACACTCACAACCCACCCACACCCAAACCTCTGCAGATCACTTTGCATCACCTGCACAGCGTCGCTGCACAGCATTCTGCATGTTGACATGTTTTCCACGTTGACATGTTTTACATGATGTTCACCGCAGCTCCCGCTTCTCTCTGTTTTTTAGATTTCTTTTTGCGTGTGTGTTTTTTTTTTCCCTTGGCCGCAGATAGCAGCGTTCGGCAAAAAAAAAAAAAAAAAAAAACCAAACGGGAGCGACGGTGAAAGCAAGCCATTGTCGGCAAATGCTCTTTTCTATCTGGCATGACGCAAGCAGCCGCAGTCATTTCCACTGTGATTGTCGGGCACCATCAGAGAGCATCGATAACCCCTGCCAGGCCTTGGCACCGCCAACAGGTGCCAGCACTGCCAGATAGGTTGGCACCGACGTGGCTGCGAAAAACCCTCTGACATCCAGAAGGGCACAGATTTGCACTGAATGCACCACTGAATCAACACTGCTGATTATCAATTAACATATACCGTTTTGTATCGCACAGAAAAGAGGGGAAAAATGGTTTTTTTTAACCACAGAAAGCCTGTTTAAAAAATACTAACCGTGTGCCGTCATAATCACGCGCTGAATACAGATTTAGCTCTGTTCAAGGTGGGTTTTTACAAGCCCGTGCGGCTTTGTGTCGGGGAGATATACAGTGCGTAATTGTTCAGGCAAGATTTTGTGCCTGTTGGCTACATTTGTGCAGGAAATATGACAAAAAAAAAAAAACCGACACCAGGAACATGACAGACTGGATGTTAAAATCGCAACAAAAGACACCTCGTATTTAAATGTCAGGAGTCGTGGCATCACACCGCAGATAGATTTCACCTGCACTGTGCGTATTACCACAGGTACCGTGTGTTTACACCATAACACACTTATCAGAGCTATCACATCTGGCCTGCTTGCTTTTTTAAACCGCATGTTCATGTCTCAGGAGGAATTAAACCTTACGTCTCTTTAAAACGGACACCAATAATCAGCACACAAAGAAAGAAGAAAAATGAATAAGAAAAACGCATCATTGTTGGCTCGACGCGGAGAATTCTTCATGTGGTGTGTCAGGCGAAGCCGGCGCCATCACTTCACTGCACGTAGGTGTTGTGATGTCTTCATGCTCGCCACTTGTGATGCTTCTAATGGGCATTAATAGGATTATTTGGATTACTAATACAAATTAGTCTGAGCGCTGTCACCGGTTCGACTTTGAGCTCTTTTCTGCGAGTGTCTCCCACAATGAAAACACACACGCAACGCAAACATAATAGTATTATTAGAGGCTGCAAAGGATTTAATAATGTGTCTGGGAACGTGTCAAAACACGGCAGGCATCAGTGTGGGTGAGCGGATGAACCTCGGCGAGACATGAGGGTGACATGAGCGGGAGGAAGTGTACAGTAGACGCCGTGCAAAAACCAACAAGCGGCTAAATGAGTAGCGAAAGAGACGGAATCTATCTGTTGTCTAAACAAAAGCACAGAGTTGACGTGTTTTATGTATTGACGGTTGTCTTTTTTGTATTTTTCCATTATGCCATTATGACTGAATTGACACAAATGGGA